ATATTAAAATGTCCTATCTCTAAGAATAAGGCAAGGATATTCACCGTTTTTCTGTTCAATATTCCAATAAAGTGAAAGGTATAAAATTGAGAATTAAGAAGAATAACTGGCTGGGAATGATGACACCCTCCTGTAATCCCAACATTTAGAAGGCTGATGGAGGATCAAGAGTTCAAAACTATAGTGAGAGCCTTATTCAAAAAAAAAAAAGAAAAGAAGTAAAAGCACTTCCAATTGCAGATAACATGATTTAACAGAGAACATCTTAAGGAATCTATTTAACAGCCACCAGAACTATTAAGTGAATTTAATAAGATCAAAATGGGAAAATACACTGTAACATTTATATGCCAGGAAGAATCTATTACAAAATGAAGTTCAGAAAACACCAGTTACAATAGTATTTAAAAAGGAAGAGATACTTAAGAATAAATTTTCCAAAAACAAACAATACCTCTATCCTGAAAACTACAAAGTATTGCTGAAGCTAAAGACCTAAATGAGTGAAGAGACATACCATGTTCATGGATTACAAAACCATGAAGTATTGTTAATTTAGAAATTCTCAATCTATAAATTTAATGCAATAACTTTACCATGCATTTTTAAAAATAGAAAATGACAAGTTAACAAACTCATCAGGTTGTACACTTTGAATATATACAGCTTTAGAGTAGTGCTTTTCCATAAAACTTTCTGGGATGATGAAAATATTCTATAGCTGTAACGCTGAGTATGGTTACTAGCCATGTAAGACTTTTGAGCACTTAAAAGGTGACTAGTATAACCGGAACTGAACTTTTAACTTCATTTAAACATAAATAGTCACATATGGCTAATCAATAGTCTATTCAACAGTGCAGAAAGTAACCTTGAAAAAAGAATTGAACATACGCTACATGATTTTGAACCTTAGTAAAAAGCTGTAATAATTAAGATAGTAAGCTACTGACCTAAAAAATAGACAAATAGGGCTCAGTGTGGTGGTACACTGAGTACCACCCAACTACTCAAGAAGCATAGAGATCAGGAGTACCGAGGTTTGAGGCCAGCCCAGCAAAAAGTTAGTGATATCCCCCACCATCATAACAAATAGGTTGGCAATGACGTTATATACCTAAAATCCCAGCTACACATGAAGCATGGGTAGAGGATCACAGTTGGAGGCTGTCTCTGGGCAAAAACACAAGATCTATGTGAAAAATAACTAAAGAAAAAGGGTTGAGGATGTGGCTCAAGTGGTGGAGCAGCTGCCTAGCAAGGGCAAGGACCTGACTTCAAACCCCAGTTACTGGGGGAAAAAAAGGATAGACAGGTAGACCCATACAACAGAATTAAAAGTTTAGAAATCAATCCAGACTTTACATGGATTTGGATTTTTGATAAAGGTGCTAAAAGCAATCCAACGAAGAAAAAGCATTCTTTTTAACTGGGAGTAGTGGAGCAGGATATCCATGTGGAATACAGTGAACCTCCAAATCCAGCTCACACATACACAAAAATGATTCAAATAGTCCATAAATCTAAAAGGGAAAGCTGAAAGCATCTAAAAGAAAACAGGGGAGAATACCTTTATAACTTGAACATATGCAAAAATTTGTTAGATGGGTCATAGAAAATAATAATTAGAAAAGAACAGTTGATATATTAGACTTAGTTCAACTTTAAAATTTCATATCCAAGAAGGGATGAATTTAACTACAATACATTATAAGCATATATGGAAATGTCACAATGAAAGCCCTGTGTTCAACTAATATACACTAATAAGAATGTTGAAAAAAATTTCACCTCAAAAATCAAGATTAAGAAAATACAAAGGCCAGCCACAGACTTCAAGAAAATACTGGCAATACCCATATCTGACAAGAAACTGGTGCCCAGCATATATACAATCTCCAACTCTGATTTTTTAAAAAAAGATGACCCAAGCTAGAAATGGTCAAAAGATTTGAATAGATTCTTCATAAAGAAGATATACAAAAGGCCAATAGGCCAATATCATTAATAATCAGGGAACGACAAATTCAAAATAAAATATCTCTACACTTCCACCGGCACAGCTGAAATTAAAATTGAGTGAAGCAAATGGAACTCATATGTTGTTGGAAGTATAAAATTGTACATCCATTTTGGGAAAAGATCTGGCAATTTTTTAAGGCAGCTAAACTTATACTTACCATATGAAACTAGCAATTCCACTCTTAGGTATTTGTCCAAAAAAAGTGAAAGCATACATCCACAAAATATTTGTACAAGAATCTTCACAGAAGCTGTAAATTCACTGAAATATGGATAGACAAACTCATATAAACAAATCCGTGAAATTAGTATGTTTAACTATCCCAGTTTGCCTGGGAGTTTTCCAAGGTGTAGGACTTTAAGTGCTAAACCCAAGAAACTCCTGAGCAAACAAGGAAGATTGATCACCCTCAGCAATAAAAAGGAATAACTACTGATACATCCAACAACATGGATAAATCTTAATGGCATACTGAGTGAATGGAACCTACAAAAGAGTTCATATTCTGTGACTTCACTTATATGAACTAAAACAGGCAGAAATGAATTTAACAACAGAAGCAGTGGATTATGTGCATCTTGGGGATTGGCTTGACAGGGAAGGGCTTATGTGGGGACTTTCTTGATTGACAATAATGTTCTGTTTTTAGGTAAAGATCTGAGCCACACAGGTGCTGGATTTTCATTTTTCATCTTGTTATCCTGTGTTTTGAAGGATGACTCTTGTTTTCTGAATCAATGGGTTTCCTTCATTGTTCTATGTATGTGATGTGTATATTTCTTTTTAATTTATTAATTGCTTTGGTATTTTTCTTTGCTCTCTCCTCACAATTTTTTAAATTCTTATAGAATTTGCAAGTTTAAGCAGTCTTTCCATATTTAGCATCTTTCTTTGCAACAGTTATTTTATTTCTCAAATCAGTGAATACAAATCTATTATTTTAGGTAATGCTTACAGCATTCTGCTTTGTAACCTTTTCTTTAATTATATATTACTTTTAAAATTAAGCTGGACACTGTGGCTCATGCCTATAACCCAGATACTCAGGAGGCAAAGATCAGGAGGATTGAGGTTCCAGGCCAGTGCAAGCAAAAATTTAAGGAAACCCACATCTCAACCAATAAGAAGTTGAATATGGTGGCTCATGCCTGTCATCCCAGCTACACAGGAGATACAAATAGGATGAATGTCCGGGCTGGTCCAGGCAAAAAATACGAGAACCTGTTAGAAAAATAACTAACAGGAAAAAAGTACTGGAGGTGTGGCTCAAGTGGTAGAGCACCTGCCTAGCAAAGGCGCAGCCTTGAGTTCAAACCCAAGTACTGCCCTAAATAGTCCCAACTACTCTGGAGGCTAAGGCAGGAGAATCATTTGCACTCAGCAGTTTGAGGCTAGCCTAGACAACATAATAAGACCCCATCTCAAGTTTTTTTGTAAAACATCTGGACTGATTTTAGATTCGATTTTTTATTACATTTCTTTTGGATTCACAGAAATAAAAATTCATACTGTGAATATTTTAGCCTTAATTTTTAAAAAAACTTAGTATTTTATGTATTATCACAAAAGCTTTTTGTTATGGTAGTGGGTTAGCTCAAAGAAGGTATTCTGTTACTATCTCAATATATTTCAAACTATCTTTCATCTTTTTAGTGTTTTTTTCTCATGTACCTCTAAAATGTGTTATTCTTACTAGGAAATCAGTTATAACATTCTCACCCCTGCCAGGCCCAGTGCACTCTTCTAGTAACAAACATTTTTAATGACTTGTTTCTATCCTGAAATTAATAGATTTTAACCTACTACACATATAAAATTTAACATAATCGCCATACTTACAAGGAGGAAATAAAATGAGCTAATAACTATTTCAATATATAAACTTGGGGACATGATATAAACTTGGGGTCAGATGTTTGCATCTAGATAGAAATCATGAATGGGGCAGCTGAAATACAGTTACGTGTGCATTGGCCACATATACTACAAGCAGTGTTGCTATCAATATCAGGATTTTCTGAAATATTTGAACTCTTGATAAAAGTCTAAACAAAACAATTGCAAATTTCCCTCAATGTACACATTGTGTGTTTTTCTGGAACCTTCAGCATGTATTCAAAATATGCAAACATAAATAAACTTTGTTTATATGTAAAACAGTTAGGTTCTGGCCAGGTAATCATAGACAGGTTTCTCATCTTGAACATCAGAAAGGTCAGAGGGCAATCCTATGTGAAAGAATCCCCAGTGAATTGCAGGTCATCTAGCAACCCTGGACCTTGGGTGCTAAATGCCATAATTACCCCCTTAATCTTGTGACAATCAAACATAAACTTTCAAAGCACAGAACTGAGTGTTATTTGCAGTGAACCTCTTTTGCAGTGGTATTACCTCTCAGAATAATGGCTCTAAATGCACAAGGTAAAATATATAGGATTACCAAGGAAACCAGTTTTATTGAAAACAGACCCCTGGTTGAAAATTCCTGGAAGCTGTGATATTACACCCTATCCATGTACACAATACACTTGAGGGCCACTAAGTTACAAAGGTTTTCTATATTTGGGGAAATAGTGAAAGCCATAGACTTCAAATGTTATGGATGTGAAAGTATATCCCAGCACATAGGTCATTTTGTCATCAGCACAATGCCACCAATAGGGAACTAACTTTCTAACAGATTGGAATAAATAGCCTAGGAACTAAATTTCTATTCTCATACTATATCAGAAATAAAGTGTACCAAATGGACTAATCCTTCTATTTTCCATTCTTTCTCATTCTGGCTAAACTACCTCTCATATTAGCATAAATTAAATTTTGGATCTTTTGCCAGCTTGTCTATTCATGTATTACTTTACCCTCAGTGCTTTCTAGGAGTGCTTTGCAAGAGATGACCATATTATATGAGGATAAATAGCTAGGTTGTCATGACCAATGTGCAAAATACCATGAGGATGATATTTATCTCTTTTAGGGTATGTCTCTATGCCAGACTGTCGTCGTAGGCTCTGTAGTCATTCTTCTCTACTCTTCCAGAGCTTGTTATAATTTGGTGGTGATCACCATATCTCAGGATACATTAGAAAGTCCATTTAATTATGGCTGGGATAATCTTTCAGATAAGGTAAGTACCTAATACATATTGCCCAACTGCAGTTAATACAATTGATAATTAAGTTATCCTTATCTGGGAGGACATTCTAGTGTTTGACTTACCCACACTTTTGTGGAATTTCTGTCTGCTATCAGTAATCTTGTTTAAAGTCATGTGTTTAAATATCATTTACATGTGACATTTGAAATCATTCTTCAGAGAGAACTTTTCTCAAAGAAGTATTTTCTTTTTATAAATAATGATAATGACATAAATCCACTTTACTACTTTTTAAAGGACAGTGTTTAGCTCTAGATAAATTGTCTGTCATTAGCCAATGAATACAGCTAATGTATTGTTAAGATAATATTCATTCTTCTCTATCCAACAGTTACATAACCTTAAGATTTGGTTCAATGTTAGATATTTAAGTAATCACTTTCTTTAAAATCTGGTATTACAAACCATGATAACAGAAGATCATTCATAGTTCCTTGGTTATCCAGGTACTTGCTGTAATAATTCCCAGTCCTCTAGCTATGCATATTTAACTTTCAAGCATTCTCCGTTCCCTTCCTAAAAGTAGTTTAACATAGATATATGTCATATCTTTATATTAATTTAACTTTGTACTGAATTTGAGATATCCTGGAATACCATTTTTCATTTACCTTTCTAAAGAAAAGGAATTTTCATGTTCCATGTGGCAGATTCTCTTCACTCCTTTCTACTTCCCTCTTCTAACATCTGGTAGAATAGAAACAAATTCAATATGTAGATTAGACCCCAAAGCCTATTTTAAGAAGCAGCTGAGCTGAGTGACTTAGCATGTCCATTTCTCTCCAAGTCTAACTCAGGGTGCTACTGTGCCAGTGAAGTAGCTGGAACTGCTCTTTATAAGTAACTCTCTTCAGATTAAGGAAATGCAAAATGAGATCACTCTTTATCCATAGATTAAAATTATCTTCATAAATTGATGCAGTGAAAAAGTTTTTAATTCTACTTAACATCAAAGCATTTTGTGTCCCTTAAAGAATAAGTACCATTTCATGAGAAACTATAAAATATAAAAAAGGTTATACAGTCAGTGCTTGTATTTGATGTATTTTAACTTACCCAAACTGAAACAATTGTGGAGGGTGGTTGCTTATACATGAAACAGGTGTAAAAACTGCTCTTCCATACTCTGTTGACAGGCTCGTGCAGAGAACGTAAGTGGAGAAGACTATATAGTATTTGGAATGGTCCTGTTTCTGTGGGAACATGTGCCAGCATGGTCAGTGGTACTATTTTTCCGGGCACAGAGATTAAACCAGAATTTGGTATGATATCATAATCTCCTCCAATGATTGTTCTCCTTACTTTTAAAGAGTGTGTAACATTTATTTTGCCAAGTATAATGCAAAGTATAAGGGCCCCCTTTCATGGTTGAGAAGCAAACCTTCACCATATGCTTTCTAATACTTTGTTCACAGGCAGCTGGTGGCATGATAAATAGCCACAGTTACAGTTCCAGAGCTTACTTTTTTGACAATCCAAGACGGTATGATAGTGATGATGACTTGCCAAGACTGGGAAGTTCAAGAGATGGAAGGTAGATGTAACAAAAGTCACTTATCCTGAATTAGTACTGAAATAGACTGAAAAGAGTAAGTCTAAGCTTTAACCTAACTATTAAAAAGGTAGTTTGATAGTACATGTCAGTAAGTAAGATCATGGAATTCTGGAGCTTAAAGCAGATGTTAAACAGGTGGTGAACAACTATTTGACTCAAAGCCTATATATTACCTTTATTTGAGAAATGTCTTTGCAAGTAAAATGGTGCCATTTCATTTCAGGATCCTGGAGAGAACAAGGAGAATGAGCAGAGAAGGAATACTAATGTACTGATTCTGTGTCAGTTTTTAGATCCTTAGTGCTGGTCTGAATTCACAAAGAAACCCTAGATAAAACTCTTGGAAAGCTTAGATGCCATAAGAAATTTTCCCATACCCTCTCTTTCACATCCTTAACTAGTACACTATTAGCTACATAGCAAAGAGAGAACCTTAACATACATCTACATAAAATTCTTTCAGCTTCACATACATTTTTGTTAATTCTAACTTCATCTAGACAAGTTGCTTGACCTGTTTTTTGAACCTGTTTTCCCATCTGTAAAGTAGGAATGATAACAGAATTTATCTTATAGGATGTGACAATTAAGTGAGTATATGTGTCCTTTGTATACTTATATACATGTCTTTGAATAGGACCTAGTACATAACAAATACTTATTATTGTTATTTGATAAGCTCTGAAAGGCATGTGTTCTTCTAGAATATGTGATTTAGTTCAAAGATATCAGGTAAAAGTCATTAAATTTTTTAGAAAGTTATGTTATTTGGCAAAGAACATATTTCAGTATATTTGATACTGTTACAAAATTCATTGAAAATGTTAAAAATGCCAATGTGACTTCTCACATCTTGATCACAGTCCTATGGCTTCTTTGCCTGTTTTTTTGTTGTTGTTGTTGCAGTGTATCAAATTCGCAAAGTTTGGGCTGGTATGGCACCATGACTGGGTGTGGCAGCAACACTTACACAGTCACTCCTCACCTGAACGGACCTATGACAGACACTGCTCCTTTGCTGTTTACTTGTAGTAACTTAGATATGAACAGTCACCATAGTTTATATGTAACTCCACAAAATTGATAGCATTTTCAAGTTGTGATTCTTGAATTTTTTTTCATGAATGTGTATGCCTATTCAACATGTTTAAATTCCATCTACAAAAACATTCCATTATCTGTTGCAACTGAAAACAAAATCTAGAAATGTGGCTCTGTTTGGTGGAGAACACAGCATTTCTTTTGGCCTCTGCATAATAAAATTAAGTAAATGGAAAGTTCTAACTAGGAGAAAAGAGAGATTGATCTTAAGGCACTTGATGGCCTCCAAACATATGGACTTTGGAACATCAAATGCATATTTGCACTTTTATCTTTGTTCTGAAAGAGTATACTGCAGTCCCCAAAGTCATATACCAGTGTTCACACTGGAATATTAGTGTGCATCAAATTAGAAGGCAATTTTTCTACAAAAATCAAAGTCTATATATTCTTTGGTATCCTTATCCAATTACAGTTTTAGAGTGTGAAAAGTGCACAGAATTAAGGCATAAAAATGCATCATTCTTTTTAAAAATCTAAACGTATGTAATCATTGAAGATAGTTCTTTTGAGCATGCTTTTAAAATACCAGTTGAAATTATTCAAACAATCATTTTAAATGATAGTAGCAATCCTTTACAGTGATGACCAGCAATGTTCTTTGGGAGGCCACAGTAATTTTTTTTCAGAAGGAAAATATACCAGTGAAAATTGTGTGGCTACTTCAGATAGAATTGGTTAAGTGATTATTTTGTATGATTAAGACATATGTAGTAGTTTAAAAATGATTCCTCAAGAAAGCAATAGTGATTTTTGTATAGGGAGATTTTGGTAGAATCTTCTTGGGACTAAACAAGTTTACAGATGGATTTAAGAATTATTCATAAGATGTATGATTCTAAATTAAAACAAGAATACATTTTTTAAAGCATTTGATTTATCTAAAACAAAATATAGCTAATCTAAACCTATTGAATTGAGATTATCCTCAGGTAAATTTAATCATGATACATTACTGCAGTGAATTAAAGTGCAATACTTTGTAAGACATAATTCTCCTTTACTTTTCACATTTTTATACCTTATGTATGGGTAAAACCAAATTAAATTGAATCCAAATTAATTCCAGCATTGGACTATATAAGCAAACATTGTAATTGTACAACTAGATAAGAATAAAACCAGAGGTTAACAGTATTGGAATACTTTTAGGATGACATCAAAATTGTTGTGAATGTCCTACTCCAAGTCTAATACATATACACACATACACATATGCACACACGCACACACATACACACATGCATGGTAGGCTAAGACAATACAGAATTTTAAAACGCACTTTCTACCGGTGTCTATGTGGACAGTAGATACTGAATACCTCAAGATGCCAAGGGAACAGGCAACACTGGGAAGTTGTCACAATAGGCTTACAGATAACTTACAATTGCTGATCTATTTCTTCAGAACTGTCCTTTTCTGACTTCTACTTTGATTAGGAAGTTTTTTTATTTCTATTCTTAAAATATCTTTTAGCTTTTTAATAACTGTGATGCAGTAACTTCAAAAAAGTGTAGTAGTAGGTGAAACTAAGAAAAAAATGTAATTATTAATGCTTTATCTCTTGGGAGGCTGATACAAAGCCAAATGAATTTCTTCTGTATATGATACAAAAGAATTTAAATTCAATCAGAAGCATACTTATTTATAAACATTACTTGGCATTTGTTTGTAAGTTCTCTCATTATAACCAAATTATTTAAAATTTTATATTACAGAAGTTAATCTTGGTACTAAGATGACACCCTAAAAGTATACTTCTACTACAATAATAGATTTCTTTTCAGTTATTAGATTTCTTTTCAGAATGCCAACTATTTATTTTGCTGATAATGTTAAGTACCTAGTTATCTAGAGCTATCTGAAAAGATCCATGTTGTCTTTATTAATCCTCGGGTTCGAGGTGATAAATTTTTTTCTAGTAAGGCTCCTTTTACAGTTCCTATTTAACCAGGTATGCAAAGATTGATTACTTTAAATTTTTTTCCTAAAAAGCATGTTGGGTCTTTTAGCTGCATTCATCAGTTTTACTGAATATATTTCTAAGTTTATCCTTATTACTAACTAGTGTACTTAAATTCTTGCATATACACATCTCACACAATACATCACCAAAGACAAAAAAAGAAACTCTGGCCCAATTTTCGCTTAAAAATTTCAAAGCACTAGGAGCACTTTAAGTTTGGTCTTGAAAGAAGGAGCTGTTTATAAAATCAAAGGGCTACCGATTCCCTGTTCATCCTGCACTGAAGCACATGACGACAATTTCAAACCTTCCTCTCATGTTCATTAATTAGGAAAGTGAATTTTATTGCTTAAGTGTGTAATTCTATAGTGATTAGCAATATTTGCTCTTATCATTTATTTCATTTGGTGGCCATTAATTTTGAAACTCTTACTACTCATTGTAGCTGGTTGTAGTTTTATGGAAGATGTAATTTATAGTTAAATTGGCTTTTTATGCATAGCTGCCTTTTTATTATTTAACAGTGTTTCTCAGCTATGTGATCAGTTTCAAACTGGTTCTAAAAATATAGCTGTGACCAATGAATGTATTTATTTGTTGTTTCACAAATTGTAACAAAACACTACTGTAAAAATAAAAGTGTCTGTGCTTTTATTTGGAGGTCTTTCTTAATCTCCCTTAATGGACACTATTGAGTTTCTATCACATAAGTTAAGAATGCTCATGTTACCCTAGAAAAGAGAAAAACATCAAGAGTTACAGACAGAGGTGGGCTGTAGCTCAATGGTAAAGCACTTGCCTAGCATATGTAAGGCCCTGGATTTGATCCCTAGCACCAAAAAAAAAAAAAGAAAAACCACAAATAGTAGTTTGCTTTTAGTGACTTCATAATTAATTACATCAAGATTCATTCATACCACCTAGTGTTGCATACCAATTTTATATTCACATCTGCATTCACACTGAGTATTACATACCCATTTGACACCTTGCTCATTCCCCTTGGAATCTTAATGAGTCAATTTATCCAGCTCATAATTCCAGTAGTTATTTCATTACTCAAGAAGTTCCTCAGAAAGGCTGCCTTTTCCCTTGAAAGCTCTCTTTTTTCAGAAGAGACGACTTTCATGGCCCACCAAAAATCACATCAAATTTTGAATACAGTTTCATCTTTATTGACTCCCCTGAAGCCTATAAACTCTTGGAAGTCTGCTGATCCTTGCTGTAAAGTGAAGGGAATGAAGGTATAACCTCTAATACAATAAAGTCACTTTAAAGGCAATTTATTCAACAGACATTTATTAAATGTTCATATGCCAAAAATTACGCCACAGAGATGCCAAAATGAATACAGTTCCTTTTTCTGCCCTTAAGGAGCTCACATTCTAGTAAAGGAGACTTTAAAAAAGTGAAACAATACAGTACAATAAGTGATACAATAGAGGTAGGTTGTAATTACAGTGGTGCCACAAAAGGAAGTAGGGTGACTCTCCTTGAATGGAGCAAGGGAGATTTCACAGAGAAGATGCCTATGCTAGCCTACAAGAATGCATGGAATTGTTGGGTGCCAGTGGCTCACTCCTGTAATCTTAGCTACTCAGGAGGCAACAGATCAGGAGGATCACAGTTCAAAGCCAACCTGGGCATATAGCCTGTGAGACTCTATCTGAAAAAAAACCCATCATAAACACGGCTGGCTGAGTGGCTGAAGGTATAGGCCCTGAGTTCAAACCCCAGTACCAAAAGAAAAAAAAAAAAAAAAGAGTGCATGGAATTTTCTAGGTAGGGAAGGAGGGATAGATCACTTGATGTGAAGAATACTGTAAATACAATATTCACCAGGGTGGAGAGGCCTGGCTGTATGGGGCATTTATCGGAATGCTAGGTGGGGAAGACACATGAGAGGACCTTGTACACCAATCTAAACACTTCAGTTCTCCAGAAAGCTCATGAAGTCACTGAATGGTATTAAGCAAAAAGCAGCAATGTCTGAGTGCTTCTAGTCTAATCTGGTAACATTGTGGAGCAACAAAGAGGAGACAGGCTAGTTATAAGGAGACAGCTTATATAGTCCTCAAGTAAGTAATAAAAATGGAAAGACTGATATACCAGAAGGGTGGAGATATGACAGTAGAACATGGACACTAATAGGTTGAGGAAGGTAGAGGAGAGGAATGAACAGAGAAAACTTAGAAGATGATGGTTCTATCATTCTGAGTGAGGTTAGCCTGGCCCAAAAGACCAAAAATCGTATGTTCTCCCTCATATGCAGCCATTAGATCAAGGGCAAACACAACAAGGGGATTGGACTATGAGCACATGATAAAAGCAAGAGCACACAAGGAAGGGGTGAGGATAGGTAAGACACCTAAAAAATTAGCTAGCATTTGTTGTCCTTAACGCAGAGAAACTAAAGCAGATACCTTAAAAGCAACTGAGGCCAATAGGAAAAGGGGACCAGGAACTAGAGAAAAGGTTAGATCAAAAAGAATTAACCTAGAAGGTAACACCCACGCACAGGAAATCAATGCAAGTCAACTCCCTGTATAGCTATCCTTATCTCAACCAGCAAAAACCCTTGTTCCTTCCTACTATTGCTTATAGTCTCTCTTCAACAAAATTAGAGATAAGGGCAAAATAGTTTCTGCCGGGTATCGAGGGGGTGGGGGAGGAGAAGGAGGGGGCGGAGTGGGTGGTAAGGGAGGGGGTGGGGGCAGGGGGGAGAAATGACCCAATCATTGTATGCACATATGAATAATAAAAAAATAAAAATTAAAAAGATGATGGTTCTAAATAACCACAGAAAGAAACATAGGTATGAAAGTAGGTTTTGCAGAAAATAATTGTTTGAAGATACACACAAGTGACCGTGGGACAACCACATGAAGTTACAAGCCACATGGATTGAGAAATTTGGGCTAAAAATAGGGATTTAGGAATCACTGAACTAGAATTATCCAACAGTGAGAAGTAGTATAGTAATTAAGACAGCATGAATGAAAGTCTGAGGAATAACATTTAAATGAATAAGGGAAGAAACTCCTTCAGGAGTCCAGGAGCAAGCAAAATATAAGGAACCAAGACAAAAAGACAAATTAAGAAATGGCTTGTGAACTGAACTGTGGATTTAAATCAGGATTTTAGACTCACTGGAAGGAATTGGTAAGAATACAGGACCAATGCCAGCTCTTAGTTAAGGAATAAGTGGGAGGTGGCAAGTGAAAGTAGGAATACTCTTTCCAATGGATTAGAAAAGAGGGCGAGGAAGTATATACACATATTTGCCCTTTAAACCTATCTATATTTTCAAAGTACTACAAATGTCCTTAAAGTTTTATATATGGTGATTATTTAGTCCCTTGCATCTCCAAGAGGATTGACTTAATTAGTGGGTTAATGTCTTTCTTTTCCTGCTCTATTCATAAAAAGTGATGGGGAAAGGAAAATAGGACACCTATTATTAAACTTAGTTCTATGATTATTCACTTAAAATTTACTGAATACATATTCATATTCAATCAACAAATATTTATTGGATACCAACTATGTACTTGGCACTAGACCAGGATTTAGGAACACAGAGAAGAAAAAGCATACAGCAGTGTAAAGTGTCATTTCTAAACCATTATATAAATAAACCCTGCTTTACTAATGTGATCTCAACATGTTAGACCTGCACATAATTTCGAAGTATACCGTTTCTTCTTCTCTATAATTACCATGTGATATTACTTCCTACACACCTTCAAATATTTTTATTATTGAAGAGCTTCCACTAATGAAAACCCCAAAATTGCAGTTCAGTTTTAGGGAGGCAAATAAGATAAATTCCATGTATAAAAACAAAAATTGTATGTCTTATATCTATACAGATCCAGCATAAAAAGAGCAACAAAATTCAAAATTTTAGATTGGGACTTCAAGTGATTCCTTATTTTAAGGCTTATAATATAGTTCCAGATGTGTAGGGTTGTTTATTTTTTTTCTGAGAAATCATTTTTAGAAAATTGTTCAGTATTACACTGAAGTATTTTGGGTTAGGAGGACATGTTGCCTATAACTGACTTTCAAATGATTAAGGAAAAAATAACATATGTATGTCTACATACAAAGAGAGCATGAAAAATAAAACAATGGGCTAGGGATGTAGCTCAGTGATAGAATGCTTGCCCAGCATGCATGAGGTCTTGGGTTCAATTCCCCATAGGAAAAAAAAGATAAAGCAAATGTGAACAATTAGTGAATCTGAGTAAAAGAGTTCTTTGTACTATTTTTGAAACTTTTCTGTAAATTTGAAATTATATAAAAATAAAAAGTTTCCCCCAAATTTTACTCAGTATTAGGGAAAATATTATGAGAATAAATATATAATCTATTCAACTTTTCACAATGTTTAGAAATCTCATATGCCTTTGAGTTATGTACCTTTCTGCATACCAAAACAACCCAATTAAAATAGCAATATAACCCTAAAAGTGATTTGTTTCATACCAATATATTTTAAGGTTGCCAGATAAAACACAGGACTCTCAGTTAAATGTGAATTTCAAACAAATCATGAATCATTTTTAGTATTATAAGTATGTCCCAAATATTGCCTGCAACATACATTACTTTTTTAAATGAGTTATTTATCTGAAATTCAAATCTAACTAGGCCTTCTGTATTTTTATTTACTAAATCTGAGAGCCCTAAATGTATTAAGAAATTCTAGACTGTTAACTATGGGTCACTCATGAAACTGTTTCGCATATTCTATTAAATACTTGTCCTATTTGCCACAGTTTTATTTTTATTACTTTTTACACAAAACTCTAGTTTGAGAGGCTTAAGACATTACTTACTTAGTTTTATCATATATGAACCTGATAATCCTGCTTTTGTTCAATATTTAACTTTAAAATTTATACCACATTATCAAAGTATTTTACTTACAATATTAAACATAGACTTAGCACAATTAAAAAATTGTTTACCTAAAACAATATAATTCTCCTTTTACAAAAGCAGCTTTATATAAAATGTTTGGCTTAAGACTGTCATTGCTATTATGCCTTTGATTGAAATTCCACTCTTTGGCCTCCGGAACACAGGCATATTTCAACTGGTTTTCCTTAATGAATATTTTGTAACAAGTTCCTGAAGTTTTCTAATTCTTTCACACTTGTAGAAATTCTGTAACCAAAGAAATTCCACTCAGACAGCATCTTAGGTAAATTTTCTCTGTAAAAGTTATTCACTTTGCAATTTTAAAGTATATAAATTTATTTAAAAGTAATTTATTTCAACTAATTGAAAGGTACAGAAACCATTTAGTCTGATGTACTTTAGTTCTTAATTTGATATGGCAAAATATAGTCTACAAGTTAGTTTTTAATATTAAAGTATTAAAATGAATATAAAGTACACAGATACTAAAATATATATTTTAAATATAACTATAATCACTTAATATTGAAGTATTAAAGTACATGAGTATTTAGTATAAAATACTTAAGTATTTTAAGTATTCATAAATATATTCATGTTTATCATTAAAGTATAGAAATATTAAAATATATATTTTAAATATTCACAAGTATATGAATACCTTAAAATAATACATGATTTAATAAATGAACAAAGAATCAAAACTATTGATATATAAAGAATGAGAACAGTAAATGTGTAACCAAGTTATTTTCACTGATTTTTATAAAAAATAAAATTTGTTTCTTATTATTTGTGTGTGTGTGTGTGTGTGTGTGTGTGTGTGTGTGTTCCTGTAGCTCTGCTCTCCAGTGTGACTGAAGTGGATACACAATGAAACACAACTGTCAATATCCTGGGTGCTACAGAAATCATTTTGAAGGTCAAGCCCAAGATATTAAATCAAACTTTTTAAGTGAAGAAATGTAGTTCTTAAAAATGTTAACTGTGAGGGGCTGAGGATGTAGCTCAGTGGTAGAGTGCTTACCTAGCACGTGCAAGGCCCTGTGTTTGATCCCCAGCACTGCAAAATCTCAACATTCTTTGCATCTGTACTTAAAAGTTTTTGTGTCTTGTTTGTTTGGTTGGTTGGGTTTTTTTTTGGCAGCACTGGAATTTGAACTCAGGGCTATAACACTTGCTAGACAGGTGCCCTTACCACTTGAGCCATTTAGCCAACCCTTAAAATTTTTAATGTATCTTACTTCATGCTTTTGCGCCAATAATTTTGATAGAAAATAATTATTTTTAGAAGAATTATCTTTTTTACATAATGACAAATTCAGAGATTTTTCAAAGATCCTCAAAAATAATTGAACAGCACAAAAATAGTTAGAAAAATTGTACAAATTCAATTGAGTATTGAAATCCAGACGTAAATTCATATGAATATAAAAGTCAGTGGATGAGAATAATCATCTGGTGACTGTATATATCTACATACTTGAGGTATTTCATAAGATTATATAATTCTGTAAACAAGATAGTTTCACTAAAAAGGATATTCCTTACCTACTTTTATCTGAGAGTATACCTGTTGCATTAGACTTACTTGGCTAGCAGAAACAATTTCAATACATTCAAACTAACCTTCCAAATGCATTAAATAATGATACTATTTCTTGTCTGGTTAGATGGAATTCGTAACTGGGTCCACTTTCTGGCATATTCGCTATCAATTTCTCAGAAAACAAGATCTTCAGAGCAGTGCCCAAACCCTGAGTCTATAATAAAAATGAGAAAAAAAGAAAAATGAGAAATTCATCATGCAAAGGATGAATGAGAAGTAAGACTGAGCTACATTCGCCTACCTGGAGCTTTCCCCATAGTCGACATTTAAAACAACCAACACAATCCATGATTCTTGAAATATTTCTAAAATGCAGCCGAAAGTCTTCCTAAAATACAATTCAACAAAATTTTATTATGATATAACATTTAGTCAACTAATAAGTATTTTCTGAGTACCTTCTATTTTCATTGTAGCTAGGCAAGGTACTATGGGATAGTAAAAACAAAAGAAGAGAACAAACATTCATTGAGCATCTGTCTCCTACCCAAGAGAATCTTGACATACACAATCTCATTTAATCTTCACCACAAATCCAAAAGTAGATAAACTGTATCCCTAAAAAAATTTTTAAAGGTTAGGTACCTTGCCTAAATTCCCATATCTAGTCAATGTTAATCTTAGAAGCCAAGCCTGCCTTACTCTGAAACTAAACTACCTACAAAAATATAAGAAGTAATTTAGTTGATGAGTCCTGGTGTATGTGATTATTAACTATATGTCAATATGGTGGAGGGAGAGGTTTAGAAGGCATCATTTGGGCTGGGAAAGTGAGTCAAGTGGTAGAGAAACTGCCTAACAAGCACAAGGCCCTAATTCAAACCCCAGAACTGTGAAAAAAAGGGAGATAACAGTTAAATTATAACTCTTCTTTCTGGAACTGGTTAGGTAAAACACTCATATTTTCTTTTATTATTATTATTATTATTATTAACTTTATTATTAAGCGATAAGAATGTATAGGATATAATGAATATCTACATATACTTCCACCAAGTTTTAGAAAGAAACCATTACAAGTTCAATTGAAGCCCCCAAAGAATCCTCCAAATGTCGGTATCCCATGGTCTATTACTATTACTATGTTGAATTTGGTGTGTTATTCTCTTTATCACTTAATACATATGTATATATATCCATGAACATTTGGGTATTAATTTGTTTATAATAGGGCAACATTATTCCAGGTCCTTAAGGAATAAGACAAAAAGAAGGGAAGTCAGAAATACATCCTTCTTTTATTCTAGTGGAAATTATTAATTGATCATCCAAGTGACTTTCTCTGTCCTAGTCTTAGAGTGGAATCCCAAGCTTCTGGTATTTTAAGCAGAAAATTGGCATACATTTCAGATAGAATATTCATTATTTCAATTGGCCTATAACTTACAAAAACATATAGTATTTTTCTGTTTATAATCTGATAAACCATACACTGGACTCAACCAGATTTAAAACTAGGAATACATCAGCAAAGATTGTCATCCTCTGTATTCAAAACAGAACTCAATTTGCTCTGGAGATATAGCTTCCCAGATGCTTTATGCAGCTTGAGACTTTGAAACAGCTATAACATGCAAACAATTTTTAATAAAACTCCAGATAAGTCTCCATTAAATTTAGTACAAAGCCCAAATTACTATTATTGTCATATTTTAACAATATTCTCAATCTGGTGTTTCTGAACCTATTCAGTAAGAGATAATCCTAATTTAAAACCTTAAAAAAATCCTAACTAAAAGTATTATTCCAGATAGATTTTTTTCCAGACTGGCCAGGAACTCACTATGCACCTGAGACTGGCCTCAAACTCACAATCCTCCTGCCTCAGCCTCCCAAATGCTAGGATTATAGGCACCCATGCCACCACATCCAGCCAGACTTCATGGTTTGGTTTAAGGTTTTCCTTAACTAGTGTTTTGACCTTAAAGAAAAATCACACCTTTAATAATTACGGAGTAGTAAAATTATTCTAAAGCACATTTCCATTCTATTAGCTACTGACCTCTTGAGGACTTCATAGCTTTTATAAGGGTCAACATAAGCCATATGTAGGCAAGATTAAATATAGACAGAGAAACAGTTCATGCATATGATTTATAAATTTCCAAATGGATATAAATAAGTAATAAGATAAAATTTTATTAAAAAGTGTTACTGAATGCATAGTGGGTTTTGGCAATTATAGTTTCACAATCAATAGGTACTAAAAATACACTGTCATGGAGACAGACTTTGAAAGTTTTTGACTTTGAGTCTTTGTATTGTAATGTCAGAAACATCTGCTGACAATGTCTGTTTTTATAGACATTGTCTAAATTCATCATGTGAATCTACAGTAACTTAAATACTTAAATGTAGCAGTTCTTGAGTACATCTTTACATGACATGAACAGATAGCATGCACAGTTGCTTACAACAATCAAACATAAAACTGAAACCAAGCACATAAAACAGCATGCACCTTCTGCCTAGGTGAACTTAATGTGCTAGAACCAAGTTAACAGGTTAGAAATTTTCTAGATCAAAACAGGAGAAGATTCACAAAAAACAATCATGTCCAGTAATCTGAGCAAATTAGATGAGAAAAATTTGAGATCCTTAAAATAACCAGAACCTAAATCATTTAAGTATTCTCCTTTTTTAGGCATACAGTTTTAGGTCGTCACTTTATCCATTCATCCATCCATCCATCCATCCTAGGCTCAAGTGACCTTCCTGCCTCAGCCTCGCAAGTAGCTTGGACTATAGGCACTCACCAAACATGTTCAATTATAGTCACTTGGCAGAATGATTAAACATGCTGTGATCATACACTGTCATTTGTATTCAGTGAAATCAACTGACCAATTATTGACCAAATTCTCAAATGTTTATAAGCTTTCCAGGGAGACCCTATTTTGTTTTGAATTGAACACTAAATAATTCTCCATTTCTTTATAATGCATAAAGGAATCACAATGAAAACTTTTAAATGAATTTACAAATGACTGTTCAAGTCTATGATATTTACCAGAAACTATTTTTTTGTAAAAAGTAAACCTCTAATATTAACATGCTTTCTTGTTGTTTGGTTTGGGGGGGGGAGGTTGTAAAAGATTCAGAAAAATTCTCTTTAAGGATACTCTATATAAACCTTCTTCACAGGACATGAAAGCTGAATGTTTTGTTGGAGTTTTGACCAAATTAAAACACTGAGAAATACTTCTAATTGGCACAGTCTAAAAAGAGCTGATGTCAAAAACATCCTCCAATACACCAGCAAGTGAACTAAAATAAGGAACATATTGAAAATAGTAGGAAAAAAAGCAGTCTTATTGCAGCATCTTCCCCCTCATTTTCTAGTTCCTGGAAGCTGTTTGGGAGATTATATAACCACTGAGGTATGTTTTTGTAGCAAGAACACTTTAAGGAGGAAATAGATGGGAGGTCAAGGACAGCTATTATCTAACAGCAAAAAAGTACTTTCTTTGTAAGCTGCAGAAAATCAGGTTTTTTCATCATGAAAAGAAATAATAACAGAGCAAGATTTTTATCAGTATTCTGGTGAAATCAGATCAAACTCAGTGATATTAAGGGCATTTTCCATTTACTTATCAATAGTTTTATAAAGACAACAGCAATCTGATTTTATTTGACTCCCCAGATAGTCTAGAAATCCCATGAGGATAGAAAATATTTCTCCCTTTTATGATAAAAAATCACGCTTTACACAGTGACTCTTTTTTGGTGGTACTGGGGATTGAACCCAGGTTTTATTCTTCTACTGATCCATGCTCCCAGCCCTTTTGTTTTGCTACCCTTCGCATGGAACTCATGATCTTCCTGTCTCTGCTTACTGAGTAGCTGAGATTATTACTCAGTCTTGAGTCTTTACTAAGTCTTTCTAGTAATATTCTTGCAGTATTTGCACAGAAATGGTCTTGCCCGAAGTTGTATACCTATTAAGAAGCAAGGCAAAAAAGTAAAGTATTCTCACAGCTGGGATATATGAAGAAAACCCTTTGAACACTGACACTGGAATTAAAAGACAAGACTATAAAATAGGTACAGTGGTGGGGGTGTTAATTGTGGGGGGGGTGAAAGGAGGAGATAAAGGTGAGGAAACATGGTTGATAGTCTTCATATACATATATGAAATAAATGATGAAACTTCTTGCAGTTGCTTTAAGTGAAGTGGGGAGAGGGTCAAGGTGGGGAAGATGGTGGGGGCGATCTAACCAATGTACAATGTAAGGAATCTCCCCATTCAATGAATGTATGCTAATAAACATGAAAAAGGAAAAAGAAGCAAGGCAATGACTAGACCCCATTTTATGGGCTATCAGTTGTGTTCTTTTCACAACCACATGCTGGCATTGCTGCCTGCCTCTCATTCCCACTGAAAAAGATGAATGACAAAACATCACACTATGCCTGCTCCTCTTGATGATGATCTTCTAATTTAAGCAGCATCATTTTCGCTTTTCCTCAGCAACAATGCCACTCATGCTTTGAATCCCCTTTCTTTAACTGACATTCTCTAGTTATTACACAGACTATCAATGTAAGAGCCACCCCTACAGAGCACAGTGACACACAGTGTACCACTTGCTATCATTTTGTCTTGATCTGTTTGGTGGTGGGAATAGAACCCAGAACCTCAAGCATGCTAAGTATGTGTTCTACCACTGAGTTACACCCCCAGCCCCTAGTAATTTATTATTTTGAACATAATTCAAACTACACCTCAAGTTGGACCTTCCTTTTTATAAGGAAAAGAAAAACATGACTCCAATTTTTCTTATAATTTCAGGATATATATCAAGATTTACTGTTAAGTATGAATATATGAGTTTATTTTTCTTTGCTGTTAAGTACAAATATATGAGTTTATTTTTTAAATTGTAAATATATATGTTTATAGGTACATGTGATGTTTTGATTTATGTTTATGATGTGGAATAGTTAAGTCAGATTAACAAATCTGTCATCTCACATACTTTTTTTTATGATGAAAACATTTGAAATCTGCTCTTTTAGCAATTTTGAAATATAAAATACATTACTATTTATTACAACCACCAGTTTCCATGGAACAGATTGCTAACCTTTATCCTTTCTATCTAACCAAAACTTTGTACCCTTTCATCAACATACTCCTTGCCTTCATCCATCCCCCTCCCAACCTCTGGCAAGAATCATTTTATTCTCTACTTCTAACAATTAAGTGAAAGTATAATTACCTTTAGTTTGTGTGCTTCTTTTTTATCCCCAGCAAAAAACGAATTCTCATCAAAATGTAAAGGAAATGACCTGCATTTTAAAATAGGGAATACTCATTTTTATGTATTATAAATATTTAAAGTCTTGCCAATACAGTATTGTACTGGTTAGTGATATATAATTAAAATGGAGTAGAAAACAGGATATTCATTTTCATGCATTATAAATATTAAAAATCTGGATGATACAATATTTTATCATCCAGTGATAAGTAATATAGTTAAAATAGAGTAGAAAAGAGTAAAACCAACACTGAATCTTGAATCAAATGCTAATTAATTACATTAGTAGAAGTCTGGCCTCAAATTCAAATATGAAACAATGCAAATAACTAAATACAAAACAATGCAAGTATTGAGGACTAAAAGAATGGCTATTAAAACTAAAACTGTGTGCTTTTTAGTACATAGCTCAAAACAAGAACAGAAATGAAACTCAATTCTAAAAGACCAATGAGCAAAATTACTTTTTTAATTATCTTACAAATATTTTTCCTTCCTCTAAAGACATTTTAAGAACTTAATTTGGGGTACCACTTATTACCCATATACTAATGTATAAATTGTAATATACATAACTTACTTGATTTCATGAAGTATTTCCAGGAGTAACATTTTGTTTTCTGCATCCTGAATTTTATTTCCCGTGAAGAGTTGAAAATCTGGGCGCTCAAAAAATGGTAACACTTTAGATAAAGCCCTTAATTCTATTAAGTAGAGAAAATACAAGTTCTTAAGCCTTCTTGGGCCTTCTCCTTCAGTTAAAATTCCATCAAACCTCTGCTGAAATTCTGTAATGTTATGTCCCCATTTCTTTTCCAACCATGTTTCTGGGAAGAAAGAATTAAATGTCAAAAACTGAATTTTCCAATTAAGTAATTTTAATTTAATTAATTTATTCATTTATTTTGGTGGTACTGGGGTCTAGCTCAGGGTCTTGCACTTCCTACGCAGGTGCTCTACCACTTAAGCCACCTGCCAGCCCTTTTTGTCTTAGGTATTTCTCAAGAAGGGTCTCATGTTTATGCCTGGGCCAGCCTGAACCACATTACACTTTCCAGGAAGCTGGAATGACAGGCACGTACCACCATGCCCAGCTTTTATTGGTTGAGATAAGGTCTCACTAACTTTTTTGTGTGGGCTGGCCTTGAACTGCGATCCTCTTCATCTCCGCCTCCCAGGAAGCTGGGAGTATGGTCGTGAGTGCCACTAGTGGTAGTTTTCATTTTAATTACATTAGGTTATTTATACTGACAGAAGTTAATTTCATTTTGTATTTTAAAATACATAATAAAACCAAGACAACAATGTTTCATAATTTAGCCTTTAAGAGTTCTATAATAAGATTTTGTGCTCTGGAACCTATCAAAATGAGTTCAACGTTTTACTGAGAAAGCAGATATTTTTTAAAAAATCAAGTTTCTGAATGCAAACATTCATAAAACCAAAATATATAATTAAAAATGACTATCTAAAATTACTGACAAGTTTGAGCACTATTTAAAATCAAAGTTACTATTGTGTTTCTAAGAGGTAAAATCCTTTAATAACAGAAGAACTGTATTATAAACTATGGTCTGATTCTTCCATGCCTACACCACAGAGAGCAGCAAGAAATGCTGCACCCATTAAAGCTAGCACACAAATAAGAAGGCTCTGACACAATAATATCTAACAAACAACAAATTGTGCTACCAGAAGCTATTTTAATTCCCGCAACAAAATAAAAGAATATTTCCAAAGTGATGTGTATAATTTTGAGCAGTCTCTTAAGAGAAGGTGTGAACTGATAATATGCAGAACTATCCAATGGTTTCCACATTCCCAATTACTTCTACTTAAGAATGGGTTTTTTTTTTTTTCCTAATATTCAGTCAGATCTGTCTTTTCCCATTCAGGTAAATACCAAGAAAACTTTTAAGGATACCTAAAATAAGTGGAAAAGCGAATAAAAGTAAGTGTCATTACATACCTTGTAAAAGATATCTTGCACTTAAATGCACATTAATGCTTGCATGTAGACCAGATATAAGTCGGTAGAATGCTCTTTTTTCTACACATAGGCCTAAAAAAGTCAGTAATATGGAGATAAAATTTCATATGTGAATCTTATAAATTTTAAATTAGTTTCATGACTTTAAAAATGAAAAAAGTATCATTAAAATTTGTTTAAAAGCTTCCAATTACCTTCTAGCCAACTGTAAAAAGTGTTCTCTGAAATTAAAAGAAAATAAGTCACAAGATTATGCCAAAACATAAGTTTCTCAAAAGTTTTAAATCATTATAAAAATACGTCATCAATGTTTTAAAGACTCTTCAATATAAAGGTCCAACTCTTAATTGCAATTTCTTCAAATTGCAATTTGAAGTGTTCATGGTGTGGATTCAGTTAACATCACTCTGCTGTCCAGACTTTAAAAGGCTTTAGCATTGCCTGAGCTACCCTAGTCTCATAACTCTGGATAGAGTGTTTTATGTGACATCACAATGTAAAATTTGGGCCTACCATGTGCAAGGCCCTGGGTTCAATCTCCAGTACCTGGGGGGTGGGGGGGTAGCAAATCAATCAAAAATGGGAAAATACCTAATCTAGATAACAAATGGTCCAGGTTTTAAAAATTAAGGACTCGTGTGCTGTTTGAATTAGGAAAATAACTAAAAATTACAAAGTAGTTCTGGAGATATAGTATTTATATATAGCTGGAAGTATTCCATGCCATTCACTACTTCAAAAGGGCAATTTAGGGAAATGTTAGAAACAAAATATCACTTACATTCTATGACCTAATAAAACCACTGCTAATATACTTAGACCCAGTAATTCTTCTTTTAGGTTATCCTCTAAAGAAATAACTAAAAATGGGGACAGGGCACAGAATTTGTAGAAATAAGATTCATAAATTTTAAACCTTCAAATAATAAAAATGTACAATAATGCCTAAGTTAACATGACAGAATAATATATAATTGCATAATATGGTAAAAGTAACACAACTATTACAATGACAAAGGAGAACATAACAATATATAAAATGTTTATCTGAACTATCATATAAAATACATAAGAAATAAGTACTATAATGATGTAAAGATTCACATATGTAATTGCTATAGGGATGGTATAGACTTTTTTAACTAAAGTTGCTTATACTGATAATAAAAATAAACTAAGTATAAAATTAATGGCAGGTAAGATAAAGGAAATAAGCAATAAATTGGACTATATAAAAACTTAAGACATCTGTTTATCAAAAACCTTCATAAAGGAAAGCAAAATGCAAATAACTGTATACAATATATGTTGCAAACATGACAGAGAGGCAATATCTTACATATCTAAAGAGCTCATAAAATGAATAAAAAATGCTAAACTGCCCACTGAAAGGAGTAAATAAATTGAATAGGGAAGGAAAAATTGCAAATGTAGTAACAGACCAAAACTGTTGAGTCAAACCAGTAATAAAAATGCAAATTAAAACAGAAACATTCCACTTGTCAAGTTAGTACAGACAGAAATATGATGGTGCTTAGTGCTGACAAGGGTCAGACAAGAACATGTGTGTATGTGTTTGTGTGTATACTTACATGCTGCATAGTAACCCTCTGATATTTGGTTAAAATCAATGCAATACTTATGAATGAAATAGTTTCTCTAAGGATAGGTGCCATAGATAGGTTAATGATCATTTCTCTGATAAGAAGAAACAAGCTGAGGTCTTCAAATACTGTTAGAAAATCAAAGTAGCCAGAAAGTAGCACAGAATTAAGTTAATGCCCAAAGCAGAATAAGGTTACTCAAAACCGAAAATTATAGGATCACTTCTACCTGCAACAAAGAGAGGCAACTTTGGAAAAAAATAACCAGAATCTTAAGAATATCAAAAGTCATTTAAATCTCACCCTTAAAGCAAAAAAAAAAACCTCAAAAAGCCAAAGTAAACCTAAAATATGTTTTATATTTTTAGCATTAGTATTAACTTAGATTTGGCAATGATTACCACCCCCTAAGAGTCAGTGCTGGAATCAGCTCTCCAAACCTGCTCAGAACCTTCATGTAGAAGACCCAGCAGATCCTAGATAAAACCAGTAAAGAGAGGAAGAAGTTTTCCCCACCACAGTGGGGGCAAGCCCCGCTTCACAATCAGAGGGTAAAATGTGCAGCTGAACTGTCAGAGGCTGAAGGTAAGGTGGGTTGTCTCCAATGCCTGAGCCCAGAACACAGTCATTTCTCCTTAATCTGTGCTTTCACCTCCAGAATTTTAGATAAGGAAATAAAAATTAAGTTGCTCTGAGTTTAGAAAGAGGTGGGAAGAAAAAATATAATTGCCATAATAAACATTTGTGAATGTATAAGCACATTCATATGCATAACATACAATAAAGAAGTTAACTTACCTTTACTTTTTCCTGAAAAACAAAACAAAATGGTTATTATTATAAAGTCCTTTCATCTACCCCTTTTGTAATGCTACACTTTCATAAAAACAAGACTTTAATAGTGGTTCATTTGAGTCCATCAGTTCATGCACACAACTGAAATGGAAAGCGGAGACACTCAAGATGCCTAGCAGTGATGTTAACTGGGCCTAATTTGACTAAATGGCATTGTCCCCTGGACATGCATGGCACATAAGGTTTAATATGGGCTCACAGAAGAGAAAAATGTAGATTATCATCTGAGAACACTCTTAAATATCTTAAGGACTGGCTGGCAGAGTTTTCCCACATTTATTATCCTAAAGATATAATTCCTGTTAAAGGTTTGTATTATTGTTTTGAAACCTCCAGACTGACATTATAAAATTTAAACTTAAGAATATTTTCAAAGTCTGTAAAATTCACATTATACATAATGTAGTAGTTTACATGCAGCTGCTTACTGACAACTGAAATAGTATCTTCATTCTGCCCATTTTCTTTAATACCATTGTTTGATTATAAAATAGTCATTGTAAATATATGTTTTTTAAAGAAGCAGACAGACAGGGGGTTAATCTAATTAAAGTACAATATATACATGTCTGAAATACCATGATAAATCCCCAATTAATAATCAATATACACTTTTAAAAATGAAATAAAGAGAATATGGTTGATGTATATGTGTATGAAAACAGAACAATGAAACCTGCTGAACCTGTCTGGGGCAGGGGGGAGATGAGGGAGAATGATGGAAGGAGGTGAATCTAATTAAGATACATTGTAAGCACATATGTAAATGTCATGAAATCCTCCTATACAACTAATATATACTAATAAAAATATTTTTAGAACAACTTCCACAGGTTTTATTCTTCTATTTTCATATATGGATACAAACTACAGTGGGGCACTAGTGGCTCATGCCTGTAATCCTAGTTACTCGGGAGGCAGATCAAGAGGATTGTGATTCAAAGCCAGCCCAGGGAAAAAGTTTGCGAGACTCTATCTTGAAAAAGCCCATCACAGAAAAGGGCTGGTGGAGTGGCTGAAGGTGTTGGCGCCTGAGTTCAAACCCCAGCTTCAAAAAAGAAAAAAAAAATCCACCATATTTATCCTTATTCACCCTTTCCAAATTTTTCTAAGAATGTGGGGAGGGGGGAAGAAGGAGAAGGATGAAAGGAATAAATCAAACTAAGATATATTTTAAGCACATATGTAAATATTACAATGTATCCCCCTATACAACTATTATATGATAATTTAAAAAAAAACCCAACACAAAAAATGTATTTTTAAAAAGACATCCATAACTTCCTTTGCCTCAGATGAACACCATTTACATTTGGTAAATGTTGTGTTGTTTTGTGTACAGATATTTACATATTTTATCAATTGTTTTTATAAAAATATATTATACATACTGTTTGGATACCTGTTACTTTTCTTCTGTGCTGTTGATCGCTTTTTATTAAAATTTACAACAAGATTTATTGTGGTTATATTCTACTATGTGACTATACGTGTCATTTAACTAGTTCCCTAATGACAAACATTTAAACTGTTCCCACTTATGTTTAAAGTAAGTGAGATGGGTAATTAATTTATGAAGTCATAATGCAAGTTCACAGTAAAGATCACTTATCTACGAGTTTGTATTTCATCTGGTAGTAGACCAATAGTGTTCACTGAGTCACCACATATGATGCCATACAAACCCTAAAGCTTATCCTTATCTCAACCAGCAAAAACCCTTGTTCCTTCCTATTATTGCTTATACTCTCTCTACAACAAAATTAGAAATAAGGGCAAAATAGTTTCTGCTGGGTATTGGGGGGGGTAGAGGGAGGGGGCGGAGTGGGTGGTAAGGGAGGGGGTGGGGGCAGGGGGGAGAAATGAACCAAGCCTTGTATGCACATATGAATAATAAAAGAAAAATGAAAAAAAATTGCTAGTTCAAATCAAAAAAAAAAAAAAAAAACCCTAAAGCTTCATTTAAAATGTTCTTTCCTTAAAAATATACGATGGAGAAATAGCAGCCTCTTCAACAAAAACTGCTGGGAAAACTGGTTAGCAGTCTGCAAAAAACTGAAACTAGATCCATGTATGTCACCCTATACCAAGATTAACTCAAAATGGATCAAGGATCTTAATATCAGACCCCAAACTCTTAAGTTGATACAAAAAGAGTAGGAAATACTCTGGAGTTAGTAGGTATAGGTAAGAACTTTCTCAATGAAACCCCAGCAGCACAGCAACTAAGAGATAGCATAGATAAATGGGACCTCATAAAACTTCTGTTCATCAAAAGAAATGGTCTCTAAACTTAAGAGAACACCCACAGAGTGGGAGAAAATATTTGCCAACTATACATCAGACAAAGGACTGATAACCAGAATATACAGGGAACTTAAAAAACTAAATTCTCCCAAAACTAATGAACCAATAAAGAAATGGGCAAGTGAACTAAACAGAACTTTCTCAAAAGAAGAAATTCAAATGGCCAGAAAACACATGAAAAAATGCTCACCATCTCTAGCAATAAAGGAAATGCAAATTAAAACCACGCTAAGATTCCACCTCACCCCTGTTAGAATAGCCATCATCAGCAACACCACCAACAACAGGTGTTGGCGAGGATGCGGGGAAAAAGGAACCCTCTTACACTGTTGGTGGGAATGTAGACTAGTACAACCACTCTGGAAAAAAATTTGGAGGCTACTTAAAAAGCTGACATCGATCTACCATTTGATCCAGCAATACCACTCTTGGGGATATACCCAAAAGACTGTTACTCCAGAGGCACCTGCACACCATGTTTATTGCGGCACTATTCACAATAGCCAAGTTATGGAAACAGCCAAGATGCCCCACCACTGACGAATGGATTAAGAAAATGTGGTATCTATACACAATGGAATTTTATGCAGCCATGAAGAAGAACGAAATGTTATCATTCGCTGGTAAATGGATGGAATTGGAGAACATCATTCTGAGTGAGGTTAGCCTGGCCCAAAAGACCAAAAATCGTATGTTCTCCCTCATATGTGGACATTAGATCAAGGGCAAACACAACAAGGGGACTGGACTATGAGCACATGATAAAAGCGAGAGCACACAAGGGAGGGGTGAGGATAGGTAAGACACCTAAAAAACTAGATAGCATTTGTTGCCCTTAACGCAGAGAAACTAAAGCAGATACCTTAAAGCAACTGAGGCCAATAGGAAAAGGGGACCAGGAACTAGAGAAAAGGTTAGACCAAGAAGAATTAACCTAGAAGGTAACACACACGCACAGGAAATCAATGTGACTCAATGCCCTGTATAGCTATCCTTATCTCAACCAGCAAAAACCCTTGTTCCTTCCTATTATTGCTTATACTCTCTCTACAACAAAATTAGAAATAAGGGCAAAATAGTTTCTGCTGGGTATTGAGGGGGTGGGGGGAGAGGGAGGGGGCGGAGTGGGTGGTAAGGGAGGGGGTGGGGGCAGGGGGGAGAAATGAACCAAGCCTTGTATGCACATATGAATAATAAAAGAAAAAGGAAAAAATAAATAAATAAAATGTTCTTTCTTTCCTAATTTGAGAAAGACAAGTCTGCCAGGATTTAGGAAATGATGCGATCTCATCATTTTATAGAAGGAAATTTGTACCTATTGACTACATGAGATCAGCATCTTTTCAAATAAATTTATAAAATGAAAACCTTACACATTTGGTAAAGGACTATCAAAGATTTATCAATAAGTACATATTCGAAGAGAACAAAGATACATACATTTCCCAAGGAAAAAGTCAGAAATCGTATTCTGAAATGGTTTATTCAACAAACCATTCTGCCTATAATTGAGTGGGCAAAGCAATTTCAATTCCATGTTCCCTCTGGCACTTACATGGTGCCCAGCACATAGTGAATGGTGAATAATCATTTGTTAAAGAATAAGTGATTTTCACTTTGGCAGACAGGCCATTCAATGGAGCAAAGCATTTTCATTAAAAACTTACCTAACAAACTACTCATGTTATGTGTTGGTTCTCTATTAAGGGATGAAATAGATAAATGCTGCCCATTTATCTATGCTTAAAGTACCATGGTAGATCAATAGCTATAGAAGTAACAATAAAATAATGCTACCAGTAAAACAGGCCACATGAGGAAAACAAACATCGCATAAAATTGCTTCATAAGGAAGGAGGAAATGACATCCAGGTTGGACAACCAACAAAAGTTCGATGGAAAAGGCAGCATTTGGGCCAGATGTTGAGTGTAGGTAGAAAATGGAAAATGTTAATAACACACAGATAGGACTTTTTAAATTAGTGTATATTAATTGTACAAAGTGAGGGATTTCATTATGGTATTTCCATATAATGTCCTTCAAATTCACCCCTATTATTATCTTCCTTTCTTAACCCACTCTTCCCAACCCCTGCCCTTTTTTAACTTTCTTGTATTTATTATCATTATCATTATCATCATCATCATCATCATCATCATCATCTTTTGGTGGTACTGGGTTAACCTCAGGGCTTTCCACTTGTTAGGCAGGTGCTTTACTTGAGCCATGTTTCTAAGCCCTTTTTGCTCCAGTTATGTTGGAAAGAGAGTCTTGCTTTTTCCCAAGGCTGGCCTTGACCTCAATACTCCTATTTATGCTTCCCAATATATGGAATCTGGATATAATTAATAATTTGGGGATTTTTTTTCTTGCAGAGCTGGGGATCAAACCCAGGACTTCTCTCATGCTAGGCAAGCATTCTACCACTGAGCTACTTCCTCAGCCTAAGTTTTTAGAAAAATTTGAGATATGTTTTGGAAGATGAAGTTAAATAGGCAAACACACCACTTAATGTGTCTGCAAAAATGCACAGAATAAATATATACCCTAATGTTCATTTTATGATAATGTAATACCATATAAAAATAACTCCTTATATATAAATACACCTCTGCAAGAGTAAGGCATAATTCCTATGGAAATAGGACAGTGAAATATATAAGCTCAACTGGTTTTGCCATTTATCTTGTCTTCCTCTTCCATCTAGCCAAAGTTCACTGGCTGATAAATAATATAAAAATAAAAATGAATAACTCACCTTGACCAGAACCCAATGGACTTAAAGGTCTTTTAATTGTCTGTGGCCTAGAAACAAAGGAATTAAGAGTTCCACATAAAACATAAATATGTTACCAATCATGTTACAATTATTTAAGTAAAGTGCTGTCTCACTTAGTAATTATATCTAAAGTCATATTGTTTTATTAAAGTTACAAAATATTTTGTCTTCTCTAATTAAGTTAGAGAAATTATTGGCTGTTGTTTTAGTGATAATAGTTCCTGATCTTTTCTCATTAGTGAGTAGGTCATTTCCTAATCACTTCTTTATCAAAGGAAGAAAAAATATCAATCTAGCTCTTCTCTGAGTTACTAACATGTTTTTATGTATATCACATACAGATAAGAGTATATTTATGTATGGCACAAAGTACACTCTTAACTGAAGGAAAAACAAGCAAAAAATATAACTATCCAATACAAGAATTAAAATTAAACAGTGGATAAAACAATGTGGGTAGATTATTTTCCATGTAGGTAATCATAGCCACATCAGTTTGTTCTGTGACCATCAGGTTTGTTATGATTTAAATGAAAGGTTTTTTAAAAGAGGAGAAAGCAGCCAGAAGCTTTCTGGAAAGTTAATGTTACTAAACTGCTCTTTAAAATCCCAAAATTAAATATGCATTGTTATTATTAGTAAAGTGTAGGGATTGTTTAATGTCTATAATTTAAATTTTAAAAATTGGCATAATTTGAGACATTTTGAGAAAAAGGTATATATGTTATATTTTAACACAGACAATATAAATTAGTGCCTCCTACATTATTTATATTATAAAATTATGGAAATCAGGTATGAATTAGGGAATGACTCTAAAACTAAGACAAATCTAACAAATGCTTCATAGACTCTTTGCGTTCACATTTAAAAACAAAATTTTAAGTAAACAAAACATTCCTAATAACAGTCAAGAGAATTTAAATGAAATATATAGCAGATATTAAAAATGAACTTTTCACTTTCCAAACAGAAGAAATTCAAGTAAAAAAAAAGCCTAACATTTAATTGGTATAAGCATAATTGCTGATCTCATGCTTTTATTTGACTTATAAAAAGTAAAATGAATTATCTCCACATTTCAGAACTCCAGATTTTTCCAGATTACCTTCAATCCCTGAGATAGCAACACACACACATACCTTTTTCCAAAAACCAATTAGCATATTGTTTAGAGTCTTAAGGATTACAAGTGACAACTTGTCCTCTATCATCCAGTGATCAACTTGACTGCTTCCATTGTAGTGATTAAGAGTACAAAGTAGGGCTGGCAGAGTGGCTCAAGAGGTAGAGTGCCTGCCTAGCAAGCATTAGGCCCTGAGTTCAAACCCCAGTACCACCAAAAAAAAAAAAAAAAAAAATACAAAGTGGACTTTGCCACTTACTAGCTCTTTAACACTGAACAAATCACTTAACCTCAAGATTCTCCATTTATAAAACAGTAATGACTGTAACATAGAATTATTATAAGAACTAGAGAAGAAAATGTATGTTTTACATTTAACACAATGTCTGGCATACAGTGAGTCCTCAAATGTTACCTCTTATTCTTCTCTGAAATAAATTTAACTTTAAAGGAAGTAAAAATAACTATTGCCACAGAAAGACATATGTAGAGCACCAAAAAGGAAATTGAGAGTTGTTGATTCTAATCTATACCCTGCCACGAACTATATGATCTTGGAATGAAATAACCCTCCCTGGCTCTAGGTCACCTCGTCTATAAAATGAGACTGTATAATCTACTAAGGAGCATTTGTTCAGTGCCTCAATACTCCTATACGTTCTAATACAACTCTAAGTCTTTTTAAAAACATATACAGTGAAACTCATGCCAATATGTTTCCCCAGAGGGGAAATGGATTAACGAACCAATAAATTCCTATGTCCAAGTACATCTTTTAACAAAGTAAACCTGATTTATAATTTTAAATCATTATGATTTTGTTTATTCCTTTCTGTAATCACATTATGGAAATGTGAAATGAAAATGTGTCTAAATGAAAAAGATACATACTTAAAACAGTTTTCTTCATAGATGACGTTCCATATCTTCCAAGCATCTGGTCCCTTGTAACCTGTGTAACGCTCAGGATTAAGGAGCAAATCTACATATTCGGCATCAGGGGAGTGTATGTCTGTAAAATAAAATGTTTCATTGAATCTTTTTTATCTTCAGTTACCTTTAAAAACCAGAATTGAAGATTATGCCATAGATTTTAAGGCACTACAAATCTAACAATGTATCTGGGATTTTAAAACAACCTTTCAGGAAAAAAGGAAGGAAGACAGGGAGGGAGAAACAGCCATATGACCTGTACACAGTGCTGCAAAAACATCCTGATTTTAGAAACAGTAAAAATAGGAGTATGTGCATTTTAGAATGTAAGAAACATAATTCAATTCCTATATTCTATTCAGAAAATGAATATAATATGCATTCCCTTCCACATTACCAAGGCACTTCATTAGTAACTAAGGTAAATGACGAAAAACTAGTGCCATATGTCACTTGTTACCAAATACTTTCTTCTTAGATGACCAACATCAGAACCACAAGCTCTCCTAAAGATATAATACTAGATATGCAATAGTTATATGTATATGCTTGTGTTGGTATTATTTATAAAAGGGAAAACTGGAAGCAACCTAAATGCCCAATGTGGCACAGCAGTTAGAAGCATGTTAGAAGTATGGGCTTTGCAGCCAGCATGCCTGGGTTGGGACCCAGGTCCTGCTACTTATTCATAATTTATATGCTAAAACTTCAAAACAAAAATCATTTCTTCCAGAGCCTCCCAGTGGCTCTGGGAAATTAATAATACAGTAATACCTTACTCATCTATACATTTAATGATATGAACCAACAAATAATGAGGAAGTAGGCAAAAGTGGCCTCAAAGGAACCAAAGTAGGTAATAAAAATCTGAGTATGAAGGTGCTTATAAAAGAGACCATCAAAGAGGATGGTATTGTAGCTCAGGGGTAGCACTTGTCTAGCATGTATGAGACCCTGGGTTTGTCCCCAGCACTATTAAAAAAAAAAAAAAAAGTCCATCAAGCTCTCCAGCTCTCAATTCCTATTTATTATTATTAAAGAGCAAAGACAAAGAAAAAACCAAGCTTGGTTATTCTTGTTCCAATTTACGGTATTTTAGGGGCATAATTTAGAGGATGAATTGCTTCTAGAGCAGCACAATGACAACATCTAGAAATAACTGAGCCTAATGCACAAGTGGCAATTAAAATAACTAGGAAAAGTAAATATAAGAACTTACACAACAAATTAGCATGGCATCATCTAGTTCATCTATTCATCCCAATTAATACTGAAGGCAGCTTTCTGTGCTGCCATAGTATACAAAATTATAACATCATTTTTAAACTCCTGACTTGTAAAATATATAAATAATGCTCAGTACCCAGTACTTTAAGATATAAAAATAACCACCAAGAAATGATTAAATTTTTTAATATTCTACCTAAATAGAGAGAAACATTTGCTCCCTCATAATTGGGGGGAGGCAGTACTGGGTTTGAACACAGGACTTCATGCTTGTTAGGCAGGTGCTTTACCACTTGAGCCACACGTCCAGCCCACTGCTTCATAATTTTAATTATAACAAACACTTCACCTCTCTTCAACTTTATTTAAAAAATGCATATTTTGCCACATGATAAAAGCTCAAATTTCTAATTGGGATTACCTGTCCTTTATTTAAATATTCATCCTCTTTTAACAGAAGGAATGAATACAATTGAGTAACTCACCAAGCTCCACCAAACAAGAAATAAATTATTCTCAGTTGGTGCTACACATCGTAGTCTCAAAAGAATACTTTAAGCTAGGCACGCTGGCTCAAGTCTATAATCCTAGCTACTGGGAGGCAGAGATCAGAAGGATTTCTGATTTGAGGCCAGCCAGGGCAAAAAATTCACAAGACTCCATCTCAAGCAATGGCTGGGCAATGGCTGGGCACACATCTGTTATCCCAACTATGTGGGGAAGCACAAATAGAAGAATCATGGTCCAGGTTAGTCCAGGCCAGCTTGGGTATAAAGGGAGATCCTATCTAAAAATAACCAATGTAAAGCATAAAGCCTTAAAATAAGTTCAAACCCCAGTACTGGGGAAGAAAAAACCCAAGGTAAAAATGGCTGGCACAATGGCTCAAGTGGTAGAGCATTTGCCTAGCAAGTGTGAGGCCCTGAGTTCAACTCCCAGTACCGCCCCCCACCAAAAAAAAACTTTATTAATGGAGGTTAAAGTATTACTATCTTTTTCCTAACAATGCGGGCCTAAAAAATGATACTGTATAGTATAAATTTAGTTTTATCTCACATCAATGTTCAAGATGAAAAGATCCTTGTGGAAAAGATGGTGAAATATGGGTTTAGAAGAATGTTTTAGCCCTTTCTTTTACTAATCTAAGTCTCAGAGTAAGTCTACAACCCCTCATCCAATACCCATGAGACCAAATGTGTTTTAGAATTTTAGATTTTTACCAAGGTTAATAACAGTAAATGTAGCATATATGAGTACTGCTCCAGCAAGATCTAGGGTATCAATCTCCAATCAAACAGGTCTGGGTATATCTTAGAAATAAAGTAATCAGCCAGTATGAAAAAAGAAGGGATAAAATAGTTGTTTAAGAGGCCTGGACATAAAGAGTAGTTTCTAGACAGTAATAAAATTTAATACTACAGGGCTAGAGGTATGGGTCAGTGGTACAGCACTTGCTTAACATGGGTGAGGCCCTGAGTTTGATCCCCAGCATCACACACACACACACACACACACACACACACACATTTTTGCAGACTAAATGAGTCTGTGTTAAACTTAAGGGGAAAATGTTCATTTTCCGAGTTTTCAGATCTTGTAAATAGACATAAAACATTATATATATGTAGACACCAAAACATGGGCATGTTTCCTATTAATGAAATTTTTTTTCCAAAGAGAAGCCACAAAGTTAAAACTAAACACTTTCTCGTTTATGAGGAGTAGGCTTTGTCTTTTACTTGTAGTTAAAATGATCTGTATCATTCTTTTCATTAATTTTTTAAAGATCATTAATCCACTACAAAACAGCTCAATTTGATTTAATTTTGTTTAGCCAAGGAAGAGGCTAACAATCCAACTTAGAAAAAAGGAAGATACTAGAACAAGAGAATGAGAGAATCCATAACTCTTGACCAAAGAAAGAGTTCTAATGGGTCCTCAGAGTACTAGATTTTAACAGCACCAGCACTCTGGTTTGCTTTAGATGTTGCTCATACAACTTCTTGGTTCAGCATTCTCTTCTGCAAAAGCAACAATGACTATCATTAAAGAAATATGTAAAAATCAAACAGCAATATAATAGGAGCATGTTTCTGTAAATTCCTACATTTTAGCTACATGTACAAAATGCAGGTATACACTCCAAAAATTACAAACTACTTGATTTACAAACTGTAAAAGTTAAGAATTTTTTTCCAGAAATTGGGTTTTCTTTTAAAATTTTTTGTGATAAAGTATCTATAACAAAATTTATACTAGGTGGCATTAATTACATTCAGAATATGTGCAACCATCACCACTTTCAGTTTCTAAAACTTTTCCACCAGCCAAAACATTTAACAGTAACTCCTTGTATCCCACCCCCACAATTTCTAATCTACTTTCTGTCTATAAATTTGCCTACTGTAGCTATTTCATGAAATGCTTATCCTTTTGTGTCTGGCTTATTTCGCTTAGCATGTTTTTAAGGTACATCCATGTTGTAGTATGTGTCAGAACATAATTCCTTTCTGTAGCTCAATAGTATTCCCATGTATGTATATGCCAAATTTGCTTCTTCATTCATCTGGTGATGGACACAGGTTGTTTCCACCTTTAACCTACTGTGAATGATGTTGCAATGAACACTGGTTTACCTGTATCTGTTTGAGTCTCCGTTCAATTATTTTATGTATACACCTAGGAAAGGAACTAGTAGGTCCCATGGTAATTCTATATTTAAGCTTTTTGAGGAATTGCCAAAAAAAACAACCAAAACAGAAATTAAGTTTTTAAACATAATTTTAGAAGGATTTTTTTCTTAGGCATAATTTTAGTCATAATGCATACTATAAAAAATGTTATACCATCAGCTTCACAGAAGTTGTCTGAAGAATCATCATGCTTGGTCCACTGAAGAACAGCTTTCTGTGTTTCCTCACTTCAGACAAAGAAAATAGTATTACTCCTTTTTCAAGTTAATGTGTGACGGGAAGGAGAGAAAGTACTGGTAAGTAAATCACACCTCAGTGACTCATCTACTGCTCCCAGTCGCTCCGCTTGTTCACACTCCTCAAGGAGATTGGCTTCTTCAGAATACTGAAATGAAAAAGAAAGCAAACGAAATACAACTTTAAAAACTTTGTTTAAAAAACTTTTTGAACAAATCCAGAAGTTAGCTGAGGTTTTCTTTATAAAAAAAAAAAAAACTAGCGCTAACAGAATTGAAATGATCTAGTTTTTAGAGAACATTAAAATGACTGCAATAATATATTTTTTCTTTGGTAGTACTAGGGTTTTAAAGCAGTGCTTCACGCTTGCTACGCAGACATTCTGCTTCAGCCACACCTCCAGCCCTTTTTACTCTGGGTTATTTTTGAGACAGGGTCTCAGTTTTGGCCCAGGCTGGCCCGAACTGCAATCCTCCTATTTTATACTTCCTGCAGTAGCTGGGATGACAGGCACTATGCCCAGCTTTTTTTCCATTGAGATGGGGTTTCACAAACTTTTCTTCCACACCTCCTCCCCCCTCTCCCCCCAAGCAGGGTTGGCCTGGAATCACAATCCTCCCAATTTCAGCCTCCTGTGTAGTTTGGAGTGACAGACATGTACCATTATGCCCAGCTACTGGTTGAGATAAGGTCTTGCTAGCTTTCTGCTAGCAAAAAGCTGACCTGGAACAGCAATCCTCCATATCTCAGGCTCCCAGGTAGCTAGAATTAAAGGCACGAGCCACGACATCTGGCTAAAATAATTTTTTTTAATATTTATGTAATGAATAACAAATTTTGTTTTATTATATTAGTTGATACATAAAACAGTTCAATTTAAAAAACTGTTTTTAAAACTCAAAGTCTCTCATACATGGTTAAGTATTAAAAGGTAAAGGGATATAATGCATTTGATCTATAATAAAATGGCTCAGAATATAGCAAAAACATGATAAATCACATGTGTCAGGTAGGAGGGATAAAGGAGAATGATGGAGGGGTGAATTCAACTATAATATATTGTAAGAACTTTTTAAATGTCACAGTGTACCCAGTATAACAATAATATGATAATTAAAAAGAAAGAAATTGTACTTATCTCCAGAAAAAAAAAAATCACATGTACCAAAATATAAAACTTCAATCTGCAGGATGTACAAAATATCTATGCTAACCTTGCAACTTTTTTGTAAGTTAGAAATTATTTCAAAAGAAAAAGTTAAAAACATGTATCAAAAGTTAGCAAAATCTATTCAAAAATAACATCTACCTATGTATACTAAAACAAAAAATTTTTAGACCTTATCATTGTGATTATTTGAATATTTAAAGTAAGTTAAACAAAATAGCTATTCTCAATTTCTATTTAATAATTTAGTCTGTTTCTTGATCACATTTGTCACTGCTAAGTTTCTTGAAGAACATATCAGGAAAAGTATGTTCTTAAATATTTTTAATTTAAAAATTTTAAATTTTTTTATTTATTCATAAGATTGCCCATTCTTTTTCAAAGTTACATTTTGTGATTAATGTGAAATTATCAGTGATTTAAACTGACTTTCCTCAGCAGGCATAATTTTTTCAACTGAGAAAATATTTTCTATAGGTAAAAAGTGTTTAAATGTCTTAATCCAAATATTTCACAAGTTTTATTCAATGAGAAAAGCTCAATTGGTATTTAACTGAACTCTGAAATTTTAATTCTGAAATGTTACAACTCTATAACAATTATAAACAGAATGATTTATCTGAGATTTGTTTTTAAATAATTGGAAAAATGTAGTGGGAAGTACAGATGAAGCAAAATTGACTGTGCGCTGATAATTTCTGGATGAAAGGTAAAGTTTTTGTTTTTCCTATACTTTTTTATACTTTCTATAATAAAAAGTTCAATAAAAACAAACAAAAGAGTTAGAGTCAGTCAATATAAACAATTTTCAAGGGATTTCATTATACGAAAAACAGAGAAATGGGGTAACAGATGCCAGGGAAAACAGGTTTTTCAAGTTTGTTTATCTTAATGATACTAGACACAAGGCCAAGTATGGCAGTGTATGTTTATAAGCCCAACTACTGGAGACAGGAGGATTCCAAGTTTGAGGCCAGCCCATACAAAATGAGCAAGAACCTACTATCTCAAAAATGAAATACAAACAATAGGGCTGGGGGATTGACTCCAGAGCACTGGCCTAGCAATCATAAGGTCCTGAGTTCAATCCCCAGTACTGAGGGAAAAAAGCAATACGTATATGTACATACCTTATAGCTTGCAGATTTAATTCCATCAGGAACCTCATCCTGAAAATGAAAAAAAAAATGTATTTGTGGATGAAATTTTATTCTATCTTCTGAAAAAAATTTGAAATTTCTGTGATTTATGAGAAAAATTCAAAAAATAAGTTACTGAAGTTAACAGATTATTTCAACTGAGAATGGTTACGCAATTTTTATGATTTCTTAATTGTAAATAAAAATTCAAAACCAAACTATTCTATGTATTGCTAGTCATATATTACAACATGGAAATATTAAAAATAGTTACCTAGCCATTCATTTTTCATGTTCAAATTGTCCCATATTTGGTCACTAGGGGATACTAAGTACTGACTTACCACCTGTGTCCTTTTTGAGTAGTCCTTAAAACAGATATTTTGTGATGACCAAATATTGCAGGTTCCTCTTGTACATTTCTTGCTCCATTCTTAGAATCAACCATTTTTTAAGGAGCCTTGGTTCTTTTCAGGGGAAACCAGAACTAATTTTTAGTAGTATTGGCCACTTACTGACTACAGTTACTATCTGCCTATCCTCAGAGTAAGGATAAGTGCCCACAATGGATATCACAATGTAGAAGTAGCTTTTTTCTTTATTAAAAAGCAAGATAATTGGAAGAGGTTTATCCACCTGACATTATTCTTGGTTTATAAGAACATAAGCTCAGGCTGGTAGAATGGCCTAGCAAGTGTGACACCCTGAGTTCAAACCCCAGTACCACCAAAAAAAAAAAAAGATTAAAAAAAAATCCTCAAAGTGAGGATAGGCAGAAAGGTAAAGTGATGCTCTGAGCACATGATAAAAGCGCGAACACACAAGGGAGGTGTGAGGATAGGTAAGACACCTAAAAAGTTAGCTAGCATTTGTTGCCCTCAACGCAGAGAAACTAAAGCAGATACCTTAAAAGCAACTGAGGCCAATAGGAGAAGGGGACCAGGAACTAGAGAAAAGGTTAGATCAAAAAGAATTAACCTAGAAGGTAACATACATGCACAGGAAAGTAACGTGAGTCAACTCCCTGTATAGCTATCCTTATCTCAACTAGCAAAAACCCTTGTTCCTTCCTATTATTGCTTATACTCTCTCTTCAACAAAATTAGAGATAAGGGCAAAATAGTTTCTGCTGGGTATCGAGGGGGTGGGGGGGGAAGGGAGGGGGTGGAGTAGGAGTGGGTGGTAAGGGAGGGGGTGGGGGCAGGGGGGAGAAATGACCCAAGCATTGTATGCACATATGAATAATAAAACAATAAAAAAAAAAAAGGAAGGAGGAACATTTTAGGAAAAAAAAAAAAAGTGATGCTCTGTGTATCAGAATTCTGAACAGCAGAGCACCATTCCTGATCACTGTATGGTAAACCTTCCAGACTTGAACTAGATCAATGCATATTCTTTTTCAATGGCTGGATATCTAGATGGTTCTAATCTTTTAATATAGTAAACAATGCCAAATATATAAATTAACATCTTTACAATATTCAGTGCTGCTCTACAGTCATCTTTAAACATTTGTCAATTACTAAGTGAAATTCCTAGCAGAATTAATAGGTCCAAGGGTATGTACCTTTTGAATATTTTGGAAACATTTATAAAATTAATCTTCAAAAGGGCTTTACTACAAGAATGCTTATTTCTTATTCCCAAACTAACATTGGGTACTGTTACTTCTTTCTCATTGGCCAATTATTAATGGAGGTGAAAGAACATTAATGAATTGTAAAGGGAGTGAATGACTGGCCTTTCAGCTTACAGAAAGATCCCAACCATGATGGGCAGACCATCTGCCTCATTCAAATCTTTAGAATCAGGGTACAAACCAAGCGATATGTTTTTCAAGTGTCAAGTACAAAAAAGAGAACTTACCTATTTTTCTATCTCCCACTAGGTCACAGAGTATAAGCTAAACTAAAAAGGAAATTAAAGTGTTGACAAAAAGGGAACTGGTCTTTGTTAAACGTTCAGCCCAAAAAGGCAATTTTTTTAATCTTTTTTTTTTTTTTTTTTTGGTGGTACTGGGGTTTGAACTCAGGGTGTCACACTTGCTAGGCCACGCCACCAGCCTGAGCTTATATACTTATAAACCAAGAATAATGTCAGGTAGATAAACATCCTCCAATTACTTTGTTTTTTTAAAAAAGAAAAAAGCTACCTCTACATTGTGATATCCATTGTGGGCAACTTAGCTCAGTTCTGCAGAAGCTGCAATAACTAGATCCTATACCAGTTTCTCAGTTTAATAGGCCATATAAAGGAGATAACAGTAAATTTAAATTTACCCTACTACTGGGCATGGTCGTTCAAACCTACTAACTACTCAGAAGGTGGCGATCAGGAGGACCATGGTTCTAGGCTAGCCTAAGCAAAGTTCATGAGACCCCATCTCAATCAACAACTGGGAGTAGTGGTCCATGCCCATCATCCCAGCTATGCAGGAAAGCACAAATAGGAGATCACAGCCCAGGCCAACCCAGGCCTAAAGCAAGGCCCTATCTCAGAATATCCAATGCAAAAAGGGCTGGCAGAGTGCCTCAAGTGGTAGAGCACCTGCCTGGCAAGCACAAGGTCCTAAGTTCAACGCTAGTATCACCAAAAATAAGAAAAAAAAAGTCCCCTAATTTTTTCTATTCCCAAAATATAAGCACAGAACTTATAAAATAAAATGAAACATTTAAGGGCTGGAGAGGCTCAAATGATAGCGTGCCTGCCTAGCATTTTTTTTTTTCTTTTTTTGGTGGCATTTGGGTTTGAACTCAGGGCTTCATGCTTGCCAGCAAGTAGGCAGGGCTGGCAGAATGGCTCAAGCATAAGAGCTCCTGCCTACCAAGCATACCAAATAAAACCTAGCAAGCACACCAAAATAAAAACACATTTAAATTGACACATTTTAATGATATGCCTATGCTTTAATAATAGTAACTGCTATGATTTAGGTATTGAATGTCCCCCGAAGGTCCCTGTGTTAAAGGTTTGGCCCCTAAGAAGGTACTCCAGGGAGGTGGTAGAACGTTTGAGAGGTTAGGCCTAGTGGGAGATCTTTAGGTCATTCTTTTAGAGGGGCCTGGGTGACCCCAGCCCTCCTTCTTCCTTTTTTTCATTTACTGACCATGAGGTGAGTGGTTTTGCTCCACTATGATGTGTTGCTTCACCACAAGCCCAAAGCAACAGGGACAATCAGTCATGGACTGGACCTTCCAAAGTTGTGAGCTAAAATAAAACTTTTCTCCCTATAAGTTGATTATCTTAGTATTTTATTTTAGTCATAGAAAGGTGACTAGTAACATAGGTTTCTTTAATAAGTTAATCTTTACATTTTCCAAAAGTTGTATCCATGAGGATTATAACTAAGAGCATGCTTCAACATGATACAAAAGCCTCATAAATAATACTTTACGTTTGCCTTAATTCCATATGCTAGATATAGCTGTGTAGCAATATTTACATGTATAAAAATAAACTTCTCAAAACCACAATATCACACCACATCTGTTAGGATGGCTGCTATCCAAAAAACAAAATAATAGCATTGTCAAGGATGTGGAGAATTGGAACTCTTGTGCACTGCTGGTAAAAATGTAAAATGCTTTAGCACTGTGGAAGACAGTTTGGCAATTCCTCAAAAAATAACAAAATTACCACATGATCCAGCAATTCCACTTAATGGAATATCCCAAAATAACGAGGTTTTATATCTGTAATATTGTTTGTAATATGTAAATATTGAGTGTTACATTTAAACTAAAGATTGAATTACTATTTAATTATACTGGCCCCTTTAAAAAGTTGTAACTGACGAAAAAGATACAATAATTCTTAAATATATACATAGTTCTTACAGATTGACAAGGTTTGACAGCGCAGTCTCTTCTTCCACACTGATTGATATCATTCCAGAATGGACATGGCCTTTTTAGGTTTACCTGTAAAATAATAACAGAAACAGGTTATAAAAATAAGAATCCTGAGATTATATTGATAGCTGTTGAATTATGATGCTACAATCTGGTTATTTTATCTGTACTATGCAATTTCTTGTCTATTATCAAGTTGTATTGATTTAATAATGTAGCTGGCATGGGTAGATTGGTTAGATTTGGTTGAAAAGACACAGCCTGCCACTAAACAGATGGCAACCAGGAGTCAAAGAATTTATATCATCACTGCTCAACTCATATTTTTTTAAGCAATAAGAGAACAGTTAGATAATTGTGAACTCAGACTACAACTAAATGGTCCAGTGATCAGGATTTCTAAACTCCTACAGTAGTATTTCAAGAAAAATGCTCCAAGTGACTTGTTAAAATATCATAGGTCGAAATAAAAACATGCCTCTTCTCAAATTTTTTTAATTTAATTATATTAATTAAGTAGAGCTAAACATGATGTTTGAGAAAATTATGAAGTCACTATTTTGATAACAACATAATCATTTCTGTTCTAACTTCAATTTAAACAGCTAGTTTCTAACTCTAGAGTATGAAACTGTTACCTACATTAAAAGTAAACAATGGTATCTTCAAAACCAAATGGCTCACTCTTGTGAAGTAAATTTTCTTAATAAAGCCTCTGTCAATATTAAATAATAACCACAATCTCAAAGTTCAGTGGTTCTTAAGAAAATGTAATTAACAGTTGAAGTATTCTTACACACAAAAAAATTTTAAATACCTTATAATATCTGAAGTAGTCACTTTCAAGAAGTTTTTGTAGTCTTGGGAAAAGTTTGTAGTTATTAAATCTATCGATGGTTTCAACATCACAGGTACAATCATCCAAGTAACCACTAACCTATCACAAAGAAAATGAAATATTAAATTAAAATGTTCTAGATGCAGTGAGGTTCTTTTTCCTCACATGGTTATTATGAAGAAACCCCCTATTCAAGCTGGGCCTGGTGGTGCACGCCTAAGAATCCTGGCATTCAGGAGACTGAGGCAAAGTATCATGAATCCTAGGCCAGCCTGGTCTACACAGTGAGACCCTGTCTAAGAAAAAAAAAGTTGGCTCCTCTCAACCAACCCTTATCCTCCTTCCCCTATACCCCCTTATATTTTTTTTTCTGATGGGACTGGAGTTTGAACTCAGGGCTTCACATCTGCAAAGCAGGTGCTCTACTCTTGATCCACACCTCCAGTCCACTTTTCTCTGGTTATTTTGGAGACGGGGTCTTGTGAACTATTTGCCGAGGCTGGCCTTGAACCTTGATCCTCCCAATTAACTAGAATAATAGGTGTGAGTCACCAGCACCTGGTATCCCCTTAAAATTTTCTAAGATGGGTTATGACAATGCTTTAGTAATACTGTTGCTTTACTATGTCCCTAAGGGAATGCAGTGGCTATTTTTGTCAGATGTGCTGAGCTCATAATGGTGCACACACACATACACATACACAGAGAGTTGGACCCCTGGCAGTCATTTTGCAATCCTGCCCTCCAGGCTCCAGGTTGACATGACCAAAGGTGGCCATTTGAGACTAAGAGGAAGAGATGTATCTTCTGTGGCTACACCAGTGAACACATCAACTCACAGTATATCCCCTCATGAGAACTGAAGAACATATCAGACAGTTAGTAGACAGAGGGAAGATTTCAGAAGACACCCAAAGAAGCAAAGACAGGAGACAGAGAGGGTAAACATATGCTACTTGGATTCCCTGGGGGTTTCCAGCTCCCACTTCCACCCATCTTTCCAGTTGCATTCCCATCCTTTGCTTTTCTGTCTCCATCTTTATTTTAATTTCCAGAGGATATATGAGTCAGAGAAAAGTCTGCAAATGTATAAAAAGAAGTGATACTGAATTTATAAAAGAAACAATAATTAATATCCACTAACCCCCAAATATTGAGCCACAATAATTTTTATAGGTTTGGAATGGTGCTTAGAAAATTAATAAACTGACCACAAAGCTAATCCTGACCTTCAAATGCTGATGTCTTATACCTTACTTACTAGCTCAAACTATCTAATGCACTTATACTAGGATATAATGGGATAATATAATCAGATGATGTCATCAGTTGTGAAACAAAGTCTTATATGTGTCTAGGTAAACACCTAATAGAAGTAAATATTACTTTAAGTAACAATTACATAATGATTTCAAAAACAACTAGAAATTTTTAAAATATAGCATCCTACAGAAAAGAGATCCTTATTGTACTTTGGTCGGAATATAGGCATTGTACACTACGGTGGATTATACTATAGGGAGACATATTACCTACAGAAAGATAATTTAAAATAAGGAAGCAAATAAGTAATACTTTGTTGAAATACTGAACTAAGATGTTTTCCCTTTGGAACATGTAAAATCTGACACTCCTTTAATTTGAGAACATTACAAAATATTAATAGAAATTTTTCACTTAATAGGTAAGAATACTTTAGGCTGGTAGAGTGGCTCAAGTGGTTGAACATCAGCCTAGTAACTGCAAGGCCCCAGTACAACCAAAAAAAAAAAAAAAAACTTTGAATGGTAACAGCAATATTCAAGAGCTAGCAATTTTTACTGATTTTTCTACTCTAATTTATTCAAATTTTTAAAAATCTAATCTACATGTTTTGTCATATAATAACTTTTAATTTTATATGAAAATATGGCTTTATTTCCTACTAAAAGTTCTGTGTATACAATAAACTTAGGGTCCTAATTCTGTGTGTATGTGTGTGTGTGTGTGTGTGTGTGTGTATGTAACATGGTAACATGTTTGGATTTTTTTGGTGTTGGGATCAAATCCAGGGCCTCAAGCATACTAACTAGCATTGTACCACTGAGTTATACCTTCAGCCCCACTGAATCCTAATTTTGTATGCTAACAACACAGAAGTGCTTTTAATCTAGATGATTTCATTTCATACAATGGGAAGTTATATTTTGAACCTTAAAAGCAGAACCCCTATGGACAATAATAATTTGATACAAATTATACAAAGAATAAAGGCACAGAAAGACCATGAAGGCCAAAAAGACACAAACAAACCAGAGATATTAAGTTACAAAAGGAAATAAACCAACATGAAAGACTTGACAGAGAGGAATTCATTGTCAAGGTGAAAATGTATCCTTAAGACAGCTCAGTGTGGTCACCTTTGGAAGGCTATCTCTTAGGCCCTCCTCACCACCACTGGATTACTGACTGTCCTTTGTGCTTCCAGGACATTCCATGCACTACTACAGCGTAAGACAGGCCTCACTGTGCTGAGCTTATCTATTTCACACCTGCCCACTAGAGGGCAAAGTCCTTGAGGAAAAAGCACTTAGCATGTGCTCAATAATTATTTGTGGAATGAGTGGGTGAAAAATGAATGAATGCTGCCCACTGTCACTCATCACTGGAAACCAGCACCACACGTCTAATTACCCTTGTGTACTACCATGTCACCTAAGATGGTACTCAGCACCTCAGCGCACACAAACACACGTAACAGGACATAACAGGAATGCACTCACATAGCAAGAAAAGCAGAAGCGAAGAAAACAATCTTTTGTGTCCCACATTCTACCTATCTATTCCCTATATCCTAACTACAAAGGAAGTTAGAGAAAGCTCCAAACTAGTAAGGAACATAAAAATCCTCCAGAGCAGAGATGTCATATAACCAAGATACCTCAGAGGGAAAGAAGCAGGGCATGTGGTGGATTGTTAAATCTTCTGCCCTTGACTTAGGTATGGAGTAGGAGGTATTCTCCACTATAACCATCGGTAGCAGTGCAGCTTAGAAAGCAAAATAAGGGTGGTAGGGTTTCAATAGATGAAGAGAACCCAGCAAAGAAAAGACAGGAAGGAAGACACTTGGAAACCCAAGTCATCTAACAGTTCAGGTAACCCTGCCATTAGCCAGCAGAACCTGATTTCTGGAAGGAAGTCAGGCAGGTATGGTGTAAGGCCCAGTTCTAGAAACCAGAGAACAAGGTGTGTTACCAAAACAGAGTCACAGGAAAGGGCTATGGAACCCAGGTAATACAAACCAGAACAAGATCTTGGAAACAAACCAAAATCCTATTACCTAAATGAAGACGAACAGACAGGTGTCAGACTGTAACAAGAATGGCTTAAAGCTGTGCTTCAGGATTCCAAGGCTACCTAACTGACAACCACACTATTTCCCACCAGGAGGTACAATTCTGGCCTCTACCACAGTAATCTCAATTTTTAAAAATGCATCCTTCCTTCCCTCCCAAAGAGATTAATCCATACTAAAATATGAAGCTCACTGCTCTGGACTTCAAGAAATAATCAGCCTTAGATGTAGGGCCAAAACTAGTAGGTGGAAACAAAAAGGCCCTGGTTGAGGCCTTTTTGACATAAGGACCATAACACTGTCCAGTTTAAAGTCTTAGCTTCTTAAGAGTGGAAAGCCTTCAATGGCCTTCTATTGCAACTTCCATAGACACCTCTCAAGGAGTTAGCATGTAAGCTCAGGAGGCAGACCTTAGATTTGAATCCCATCTCTGCTACTTACTAGTTTTTTACTTTGCAGTTTTGGGTTTTTTTTGGGGGGGGGGCAGTGAAGGTATATCAGTTATTTATCCTCGCTAGACCTCAGTATCTTAATACAAAATAATAATTCCCATATGAGATTTGATAAGAAGATAAGTGTTAATCATTATTATTACCCTACCTCTGATTAAATGCTTCCAATGATAAGGATCTTACTGCTCTCCAAAGAAGCTCACAGAATTTTCTTAATGAATAAAAAAAACATAGGCCAGGTTTGCAGCTAAAATCTTCTAAAAATTTTACCTTTATAGTCCCAGTGGCAACGACAAGATGATAAAAAGTTAGCAGTGAAGGAACCTCAATTACTTTCCCCATTAACTCTGGTTGATCTGACCAAATGTAATAGGCAAGAGAAAAGAAAATTGCACTGGACTGCTTGTTCATTTTCTCTAGTTAGAGGTATTCTTTAATTCTCAATGAAAGACAAAATAAACACCTCCTAGTTTTTTCAAGTGTGATACCAACAAATTTCCACCCTACCATAGGTTATCATTTTATTTTTTCACTCAAAGTACTATAAGACTATACTCTCAAACTCACTTTTTTATGTGTTCAAAGGGTCAATTAGGTAAGACAAAGAAATAAAAGGCATTCAAATTGAAAGGAAAGAAGTAAAATTGTCTGTGTTTGTGGATTGCCATAGTTTTATATAGTACATAGAAAACCTAAAGACTCCACCAAAAAAAAAAGTTAGAACCAATTAAATGAATAAAGTTGAATACAAAATCAAAATACAAAAAAGCTGCATTTCTATAAACTAACAACTACCTGGAAAAGAAATTTTTTAAATCCCATTTACAATAATATCACACAAAAAAATAAGACTGTTAGAAAGACATATAACTAAGAAGGGAAAAGATCTATACACTGAAAACTACAAAATATTGATGAAAGAAATTGAAGCAGTGACACAAATAAGTGGAAATATAGCCTATGTTCATGGATTTTAAAGAATTAATATTTTTTAAATTTCTATAATATGCAAAGCAATCTACAGATTCAATGTAATTCCTATCAAAATTCCCATGGCACTTTTTACAAATACAGGAAAAAAATCCTAAACTTTGTATAGAACCACAAAAAACCCCAAATAGCTAAAGCAATCTTGAGCAAGAAGAAAAGACCCAGATACAGCATAGTTCCCAATTCCCAATTATATTACAAAGTAAATGATATGGCAGACACATAGACCAATGGAACAAAATAGAGAGCACAGACAAACTTATGCCTGTATGGACATCTAATCTTTTATAAAGGTGAGGAAAGTACAGTCTCTTCAATAATGG